CTACGACGCTCAAATAAAACAACTCTGGTCCGACTGCGTGAACCATCCTCTTATAACTCTGTGAATCCTCTTCCAAACAAACATCATCAGCCAAAAATAACGATGTATATGTGACGACGTAATTTTGTTAAAAAACGTTCTACTTAATAGAATCAAGTATCAACACAACTCTTAAAAATGTCTAACCACCGTACACGACAACCCTGGACATACAGCGAAAATAAAAAACGAAAAAAAACGCATTCATACCCGCTTAACAACGTACAACAATGAACGCTCAAATCCGATCCTATTTCCACGCCGGTGAAAAAATCTTCAAAGACGATAGAAAAACGATGAAACGCTGGAGAAAATTTTCAAATCAGATTGTACACGATTTGATAGAAACGGCCAATAAACTCACGTAAATTTATTCCGTGATTTTAGGCAACGTATCAGCAAATCTCATATCACGTAGTTAAGGAAATAAATGCCGTTCAAAAATAAAACAGGGGTATTAAAGGGAAATTATATAATATATTTTGCCAAGTTGGCAAATTTGGGTGTATCTCAAGAAGGGAAAAATTAATTGGATCTACCTCATTAGAAAATATGAACAAGGGGGTTATCCCTAATAAACCTTTTTTTTTTATTTTACTTTTTTAAATAGTTCATATTTAAAAAAAAATTAAAAATCCACTACATACACATCGAAAACCACTAAATTTATCGAAAACCACTATGATATTAAAGTAAAAATTACTATAAAATAAGCATAATCTACATTAATATTAACGTAATCCTCTATGTAATTAGTAAAAACCACTATGTAATTAATGAAAATCACTATGTAATTAACAAATATCATTACAAAAATTCACTAAAAACTTATCAATTAACAAACCACTATGTAATTAATGAAAACCACTCTATAATTAACGAAAACCACTGTATAATTAACAAATTCCTAAACTTGTTTGTTCATCAGTATTGGTTAAAAAAATGAATCTTTACAAATATTCACCTCGAGTCGAGGCAGATGAATCATTTTGCTTCGACTTAGTACATAACTCAAAATTGATTTATTATTATTTTTTTTAATATTTTAATTTCCAGGCCTGGTTTATAGAACTTCCAAGAGAGATATTAGATTCTCTCACGTAGGAGCAGGTAATGCAGGCCCAATCAGAAGACGACTGCACTCGTCTCGTGACTCTACTTCCGCAAACAGAATCAACTTTATTGGATTGGGCAATAAATTTATGGCCGATGTTGCCCAATTGGAACATCTCAACAAGATGAACTCTCGTAATATCGCAATGGTTTTCTGCAACGAAACTGCTACGGAATCGGAATTGAATATGCAGGCTTTGATTTCCGGCAAAGCCTTCGAGAAATTGGATTTTGTCACTTGTTTCACCGACCATTGTTTGCCGTGGTGGTGGTGGCGGGGCAGCGTGGTTGTGGTTTGTGTAGAAAAGGAAGAAAATAGATATGAAGAGCGGCAAATCTAGGGTTTGAGTGTGAGACATAAGAGATAAATAGAGAAGAACTGAGTATAAAATATAAAATATAAAGAAACGTGATAAGAGAAAAGGTTATAATTGTCAAACTATATTAACTTTTATTAATTTTAAATGCTTTGAATTTATCTTAAAAATAAGAAAAAAAAATTGGACTCATTGTAATTGGAGTAGTCTAATGAGGGGAGTTTGTCAAATTATCCATTTTATTTAATATTTGACTAGTGTGTTAACAGTAATTAGGAAATTACTTGAAAATTGTCTAAATAAAGATTAATAAACTTTGTAATTACCAATTATTGTTAAAGATAGTATGCTAAGTAGTATTTTTTTGGGTTAATATGCTAGAGGCTTCTAGATGTAAAGATAATTAGATGTTAAATATAACTTTAATATTTTTTTCTAAAATATTTCTTTTTTAAATAAGTATGACTTGTATTCTTAAAAAAAAAAAATTCATAATTTGCTATTAACCTAAATCCGTATTCTTTTCTTTTTTTTCTCTTTTCTTGCTCTATGTCTCGCGTGCGCTCTATCTCGCTTTACCATTCCACTCCATTGTTGAGGGGGGCAGTGGTTACAGCACAAATATGGCGGTGGAGGCGGCGGCAATATGGGAGATGGTTATGGATGCAAGGAGGCTATGACTATGGTGGTGTGAGGTCATATCTATGGTGGGAGGCGGTAGCTGTTATTTAATTTGGTGGGCGTTTAAGTTTTAGTAGATAGGGTTTGGCGGTGGCAAGGGAGTTGTTGGTTGCTAGAATTTGGCGGTGACTGAAATTGTTGGTTGCTATGGTTTGAAGGTGGCTGGAAGATGTTGGATATTAGGGCCGGTTTGACAACTTTTGTGAGTTTTTGATGATAGGGTTCAATACACCATAACATGTTTACAAATTGTTGTAATATTTAACAAAAATGAAAAACATGTTTTTTTCTCCTTATTTTTCAATATAATGTAAAGAATAAGGAAAAAATAAGTTGTTTATAATAAGGTATAAAATGTTAGAACGAAAAAATAAAAAAACAAAGATGACAAAGTTTGTAGAAATAAAATAAAATATGTTAGATGAAAAAACGAAGATATTAAATACATAATAAAAAAAAAAAAAAAAGATAAATGCAGTTTGAATTTTACTTAATGCAGATTTCGAGTAAAAGGGCAGTTTTTGAATGAATTTAATAAAGAACGTGAAACAAATGTTTAGTCGAGCTTGTGATACGGACAGTGAAATTGGATAAGAATTGCAAAATAACTATTTAATTCGTACAAGGATTTTAATGAACATTGATGGAATACCGATTATGGGAAAATAAGGGTTTTCTACTAACTCAAATTGTATTAGAGTACGAAACGAACTCTCTCTCAAGTGAAACGGCGCAAGGAACAAAACTCATGAGCAAAGGTCATCAACCACGTCAAATTTCAGCAATCCAACGTCGTTTAGACTACTACAAGTTCGTTATTGCTATTTTAGTCAAGTTTTATAAAAATAATATCAAATCATACAAAAACCAGATTAGGATTCCGTGAATTGAGTTGTCCCAAAATTACGAGATCTATTACAATCGGGCTCTAACCAGTTTTTGCCGTTTTTTGGTAATTTTTAGTATTTTCCTAGTTTAATAAGAATTTTCAGTTTTGTTAGAATAAATAGGTGCCTTATGACTTTATTTTCAGAAGAATTTTGAATTTAAAAAAAATATTTAGAGTTTTCTCTATTTTATGGTGGATTCCAGAGTTTTTGGTGGATTGCGAATGTTATTTTGTTCTATTGGATTAACTCGTTGCAATTAATTATTTACCGTGCTTCCGTTCTACGTCAGTTGGCATCAATAGTGAGGTTTTTCCTAGTTAGATGCCGAAAGGTGCGAAACACCGAGACAACAACTGCGTTGGCAATGACCGCGGGGTTGAAAAACTGCTAAATCTTCGGTTGGTGCGCGAGGGATTTGCCCTTGACAACAACAACAGAAGGACTGAATCTAACATGATGATTGCCGAAGGTGTAGGCCGATGTGCATATATTAGACACAATTATCATGGGCATGTTCAACTTCAATCAAGGTATGATGAATATTTAAAGGGGAGCGACAACTCTGAGTTTGATGAGACCCGCCTATAAGGAGGCAAAATGATGCGTGATAAATATCCGGGTAAGAGCTGAATTCCTTCTTTTAGTGGAATTTTCTTGAAGTTGAGGAGTTTATTGATTGGGTATCACAAGTGAAGATATTTGAATGAGGATATTTCCGATAAGATCGTAAATTGTGAGTGTGATTAAGGGTATCAACAAATGTGGGATGAGAACAGTGGAAGAGAGCATAAGAGAAAAATTTCCAATTTAATCGTGGAGGAGAATGAAAAAAAATTTGATGGGGTTTTCTTACCCGTAGATTATGAGCAACGCCTATTTCAACTATATCATAATTGTTCGCAATGGAGCATATATGTTAACAAGTATACTGCTGAGTTTATGAGATTAACAGACTTAAATAACCTGCAAGAATTAAAAAGTATCCCAAATTTCACGGTACTTGAAAGGATTGAATATTTCAATACGTGTTAAGATGGGGTGGCATACATTCTACACTCTTGAAGAGGCTCAAGAGTTAGCATGGAGGGCGGAATATTATAGAAGCGAGATAGTTATTCTAGGGAAACCGAGTCCGACCCGTTGTCAAAGTTAAGAAGGCACAAGATACTCCGTTCTTTATTCACCTCCAAATTTGATGGAGGATCATGATGTAGGAGTTGACGAAGTTGAAGAAGAAATTGTTGATGCAAAAGTTAAAATTAACGTGGCTGTGATTAACAATGACATTAACGAAATCAAAGTGAATGTCAACGAAATTGAAGGGAGAGTCAACAAGGTTGAAGAGAGCATCAACAGAGTTGAAGAGAGCGGCAATGCGTAGAAGAGAAAGTTAGCAACGTTGAAGAGGAAATCGACGAATTTAAAGAGGGTATTAAAAAGTTATTTGAGGAAGACTTTGAAGTTACAAAAGTTATCCAAGAAGAGGAAGGTGCGCGTGAAGAGGAGGAACAGGTGGATTGTGTGGAGGTATGTGATCTAATTGTAGATAGTGTTTGCTTTGAAGCTCTTGTATCAGAGAAATTGGTGGAGCCATTGGAATTTTTTATTAAGAAGCAAATATTTCTAATGCCTCGTTTGGAGGAAGATTTTGTAAGCGAGATTTTTGTGTTGAGAAGATTGGTGGAACACTTGAAGTTGTTTGCAAAGAAACACGCATCGATATTTTTATCATAGCTCGAGGCCGAGCTCTTTTGAAGAAACAGGGATTGATACGGACAGTGAAATTGGATAAGAATTGCAAAATAACTATTTAATTCGTAAAAGGATTATTAATGAACATTGATGGAAATACCGATTATCAGAAAATAAGGGTTTTCTACGAACTCAAATTCTATTCGAGTACGAAACGAGCTCTCTCTCAAGTGAAACGGCGCAAGGAACAAAATTCATGAGCAAAGGTCATCAATCACGTCAAATTTCAGCAATCCAACGTCGTTTAGACTCCTACAAGTTCGTTATTGCTATTTTAGGCAAATTATAGAAAATTTAATATCAAATCATAGAAAAATCGGAGTAGGATGCCGTAAATTGGGTTGTTCCCAAAATTACGAGATCTACTAGAATCAGGCTTTAACTAGTTTTTGCCGTTTTTGGCAATTTTCAGTATTTTCCTAGTTTAATAAGAATTTTCAGTTTTATTAGAATAAATAGGTGCCTTAGGACTTTATTTTCAGAAGAATTTTGAATTTTAAAAAAATATTTAGAGTTTTCTCTATTTTATGGTGGATTTCAGAGTTTTTGGTGAATTGCGAATGTTATGTTATTCAATAGGATTAACTCGTTGCAATTAATTTTTTACCCCGCTTTCGTTTTGGGTCAATTTGTCATTTAATTGTAATAAGTTTTATTAGTGGGACCTATATCCTAATGTTCCTTTCTTTTTTGGGTAAATTTCACATTTTTTCTTGCAATATTTGTGGTTAAAGAAAATTTATGGTACATTCAATAGCATTTGATTTTGGTTTAATTTCACTTTGCACCCTGAAAATATAGCTTTTGACACTTTGCATTCTTGAAACAAAAATTATACCACTTTGCACCCTCGAAACACAATGAATTGTTTTCTACAACATATATATACATACAAACCTCGAAAAATATAATGGCCACACTTCGGACAACTGATGAAATCTTTTTAGGACTTCATCATATGATATACGTAAGATCCAATCCGATTAATTATACAAGCCAACCAACCATGGTTAATTATTAACTAGTGTTCTGAGTCGTTCTTTCAGGTTTTACCTTATCGACTCGTTTCTTCTGCAAAGCCTTCGATTCCTCCTCCACCAATGGCAGCACGACAACTGGCGCTGCAGGCACAGCGTCCCATCGCTCCTTGAGCAAAGTCGTGAATGCTTCAACCATTTGCCTTCGGAACTCGAGCTCTCTCGTGAAGAGATCGAATATTATAAAGGCAAGAATGTATTTGAATGGAACAAGTAGAAGTGTAGTTGATCCCAATAGTAGCACTAGAGCAACCTCTGTAGTTACCTGCAAAAAAAAATTAATAAAAAAATAGGCAAGCAAAAATATAAAAATTAATACAGGTTGGGACTAGCAAAATTCTATTAATTTAGTGAAATGTTAAATTGCCGAACTAATAATTTAGTAGAATTTTACCGAACCAGGACCGGAAGATACTATTATTTAAGCGAGGTTATTAATTTGTCGAGTATTAGTTATCGAGGTTCTACATATCGAAAAAGTTTACACCGGGGTATGCACTTAATGTATAAATCTATGGTATAACGTTACCCCATGTATTTCACCCCGTTGTAGCATATAGAATAGAATAAAACGGGGAATTAAATGTAATTTACCCAATATATATATATAAATACATTTTTCCAAATCTCCAAACTTGTACCGTAAACATTAAAATCATTACCTCTACGTATAGGGCTCGTTATCATCATCATTGCATTTAGCGGTGGAAATTGGAACAAAATTTTCGAATTTAGCCGATTTAGATCCGGGTATTTTACGATTTTGGAACAATATTTTTCATTCTGAATTCAGAAAGTTCCAATTTCTTGATTTTTCCCCAAAAAAAAAATTGGAAAGGAAATAGAATACATATTAGATTCTAATTTTTTGGTGGATTTTAATTTCAGAAAATTCCAATTTATTTCCAAAAATTACAGTTATAATATATCATAGGTGACTAAAGAATTGAAAATTCCAAATTCCGCCGATTCCGATTCGAAAATCTCCAATTTCAGAACAAGTTTTTTCACCCATCTCCGTAATTTCAATTTCCCGTTTCTTGTTTACAAAATTGGAATTAATTTTTCACTTCCGAAAAAAAAAACGATTTTTTTTCGTCCCAAAACCGCTAATTCTGATCCGATCTATCCGATTTCCTAACCACATTGTAAACATGACTTCGCTAGAAAGTGAAATTTGCATGTCGTAAACGACCAAACCAAAACTAAATCTCCAAACAAAATGACAAAAATACCCCTCCAAAGAAAATCCGTAACTAACCATATAACTACAGACAAAAAGTGCATACCTGAGGGTGGCCCGCAAGAATGATCGAACGTATCTTAAGCAGCACAACATTCATATTCTGCAACATTTTCTCCACTTCTCGTATCGCTTCTTTCACAGCCATAATTTTCTGTATAGTATTCGACGGAGGCTGATCGTATATCGTAATTTTGCCGAAGAATCTTCCGAGCCTGCCTTGCTCCTTAAGCCCCTTCAGTAGTAACATGCCGGCAGACAAAATCATCAAAGTCACCGGAAATGCATACCACAGCAAGTTCCTGGATAAAAACTCGATTTTTGTTCGATTTTTTTTTTAATGTCTGAAAAAAATAAAAAAGTTCGAAAAAATAATTAGAAATAAAAATATTACCTGAAAATGAGTGTGTATACAAATGCAAGAAAAGATCCCGTCACAAGTGGGTCGTCCCATTGCCTAAGTTTATCGAAATTTTTAGCGGTGAGAGTTAACGGTAGTACGAGTTCCTGTAAATATAAAAAGAATGACAAATTAATAATATTAAAAAAAAAAGAAAAAACACGGACTACCTTCGTTCCATATTATTTGTCGCTTTAGAGTTCTAATAATGTTTATCTTTTTTTTCCTGTTTTACCCTTATTAATCCAACTGTATTAAGCATTCACTATCTTATCGCCTCATTAAATGGTAAAAGGCTATTTTAGTCTTTCTTACACGTCTTTCCTAATTTTCTTAATATGTGTGGAAAAGTCTTAAATGATTAGATATTATGGAACCGAGGGAGTACTTAATTTCACTACATAAAGGATAATTGTCTAGAGTTTATTGCATTCAGCACCTCTATATTTAATCTAATTGCTCAAAAACCCCCGGTGTTGTAACTATTAGCGAAAAAACCCCGAAATGCAATTTTTTTAGCGAATTACCAACACACCATTTCGGGGGGCTCCGTGCTAAAAAAAATGCATCGTAGGGTTTTTTTTCCGATATTTATAACACGGGGAGTGTTTTAGCAAAATTCGATACAACACATAGGTACTAGATGCAATGAACTCCAAATTGTCTACAATTAAAAACGGCAAGGGTTACATGAGGAGAAACAAATAAATTAGGGCATACTACGGCCACCCACTGAGGTATGGCCAAATTACGAAAAAAAACCCCTCTTGTTTGGGTAATTACTGCCACCCCCTCCTTTTAAATATTTTTACTTAAAATTCATGTAATTCGGTTATTTACCGAACCAAATCGTATATTCAGTTCGGTAAACGGTATGAAATGTTGGCGGACCGAAATTTTGGTCCGGTTTTACCAATTTAACATCCCAAGGGGTATTTTACGTAATTACCCAGACAAGAGGGGGGTTTTCGTAATTTGACCACAACTCAGGGGGTGGCCGTAATTTACCCAATAAATTAAACATTAACCAAAAAAAAAAAAAAACTCACAAAAGAATCCCAAAACGAGAAAGATAAACGAAGATAAACGAATTTCTAACCTTAAAAAGATCAATATTACTCGGAATCCCTTCAATCATCGCATCATCGATCGTGGCTTGCGTTTTCTCGGCCACCCTATACTTATCCCTACATATATTCGCCGCCCTTTCCACTAAATTCACTCCCGCCACAACGAGGTTTTTGCTAAGCACAACGCCACTTTTCGCCGAACCACTATTCTTCCAAAAAACTAACGAGGCATTCGAACCCCACGAGCTCGACTTCATCCATTTCCTCAAGTACGCACTCCCATCCACATCATAAACATGGTTGCTATATTCAAGACCCTCTCCAACGGGCCCCACGCGCGGCCCCATTTCATAGTCAACTTCGGTCCATTTCTTGGTAATGGGCCCACCCCAAAAGTTGACCGCGAGCGTTTGAAGCACAACGTCACCGAACGGAGCGTTCGTTAAATACGAAAACGGGACGAGTTTCGTAGGCTCGTCTAAAGTCCTCCTCATGAATTGGAGGGCTTGAAGCCTCGCGATAGCGTTTAATGCGTGAGTCGCCGCTCGATCGCTCCCCTTTTGAGCTCCGTATATTTCGTAAATTGATTTATCCCCTTCTTTCGGTCCGTATTCGTTCGTGAATTTGTATAGAGATATAACTTCGTTTATGAATGCGTACCATACATCTCGTCTCATTTCGCCTCCCAAGTCGATGAATTCGAGCACCAACGACTTAGACCTGCATAAAGATCGATTTACACGGATAATTAATCAATCATTTAATACACGGAAAAAAATATTTGATGACATTAGGTAAATTAATTGCGACGTATATTTATTGATATGCGGAGATAGGTCGGAGAAGCTTACTCACTCCGAACCAGATGTGACGGATATAGCAGAGTCGAAAAGATTCGACCCGAGGGGTCCCACTCTCGTTTTCTCTATTTTCGTGTCTTTATGAGTAAGATCGAGCCTTATCGACTCTCGATCTCCCCTCAGGCCAACTGTCTGAAAATTACGCATTACCAAAAAAAAAAAAGAATAAAAAAAAATTATTTGGTGAAAATACTATGAAACCAAATATTAAACAATACAACATGAAAATCGTTCAACTAGTATTCTAGCGAGAAAAATAGCCAACTCGTTATTAGTTGACTTTTTTGTTCTTGTTAATTGCGAAACACTATTATTCGACTAGTTCAAAAACCATTTATAAGGGCATTAAATAAAAATAAATATACTATTATTAATAATAAATAAATAAAGAAGGGAATCACGACCTCAAAATATAGTGCCTTGTCGGTCAAGGTAAGCTTCCCTGGCCATGCAATGTTTTTTTCCCATTTTATTACAGGCTGCTTTCTGCTCGAACCGAGACAGAGGATTTTTTCCTTGGAAATTTCGGGAACTTCTTGAGATTGATACGACTTTCGACCTTCATGCACCCTACGTATCGTAGCAGTATTACGAATACATAAGATTGATAACAACAATCGGTATCAAAATCAAAAAGTAAAATAAAAATGCTCACTTGATAAGTTCGTTAATATAAGTTGACCATATGCTAAACGAGATTCCCTTATCATCGCCGGCGAGAGCTTTGAAAAGATTATGCGCAGTGGCCCAATCCGCCACACCAGAAACGGCAGGGGCGATACGGACAAATGCCTTTTCTCCCACGAGCTTCCTCTTCAAGCAAACAAAACAAAATGTATATTTTCGGATTCGGTTTTTATCTAATCATAGGAAAAAAAATCTTTTTCAGACAGGAATTACCTGGATAGTATTTCTCTCGGGCAGCTTAGAGCGGTTACCGTTTCCTTCTTTGCATGGATTCTCCCATGCAAGCATAGTTATGAAAATCAGTCTCTGAAATGCCGGTTCCTGATTTCATACGTAAAAAAAAAAAAAAAGAATAAGTAAGTATAGTTTTGAATATATTCAAAACCCGAAAAGAAAGATTCATCAAGCTCACATAAAATGGTAATTTTGTACGGCTAGACCTTCGTTTCGGAAATTACTCAAACCACCATTGATATTTGCTTTAGGTTAAACAAACATGAAAGGCAGACTCGATAAATGACGTGTTTACCCTCAATAACATACTTACCTCTAAGTTAGGTCTAATTACATTGGACCCCCTGAAGTTTGGAAAACTACTCAAACCTCCCCGAAAGATTTAATGTAATCCATATTCGGTCAAGGCTAAAAAATGGGATTTCAACAAGTCAATGGTCAGATGAAGTTGAATGTTGGTCGAAATCAAATCTCCAGGGAGGTTTCTGCGAGTTTTCAAATCTTACAGAGTCTAGGTGTAGTTACGTATAACCTCAAGGGAGGTACGTGTAATTTACAAAAGAGAAGAAAAAAAACAGTGCAATATAAAACTAATGAAAAAATAAAACTCGTATACGAAAGATAGCCGAAAGCAAAATTACGAAGCAACTCTACACACACCTTGAGGCCAGGATGAACTTCAACGCCATTCCTCGATAAAAACCGGAAGCAGCAATACTCCACCAAATTACGCGGATCGTTATAAACGGACTCGGAAACGAGCGCTTTGAATATTTTCTGCATTTTCAGTCCCGTCAACCCGTTCATCCTGCATATCTTACATTTCCAAAACGTTAAAAATTAATTCCTTCACACACACACACACACACACACACACACACACACACACACACACACACATATATTATATGCATTGGAACCTCGATAAATTAATAACATCGATTAAATAATAGTTTATCTCGGTCCCGACTAGGTGAAAACGTGTTAAATTATTAACTCGATAATTTAATAATTCGCTAAATTAATAGAATTTTCCTAGTCCCGATTGCATTAATTTATAGAGGTTTAACTGTATACATATACATATATTAGAAAATCGAGCCCGTAATTTTAAAAAAAGTAGGAAAAAAGTGATCTTTTACCGGCTAAATTGCTCGATGGAAATAATGGAAGCATCGGAAAGGTCTCCTTGAGGAGTTCGAATATTGACTGTTTGTTCGGTAATCAACATATCCTCCATATCTTCACTGTCGTTTTGAACGTTCGGTCTTCTTTCATTGACCGATTTCACGAGCGGTGAAGTTAGTTCGGTGAAGAAGCTCTGCGTCTTCGACAGCATCTTGTTTACCGATTCTTGCATTGCATCTGTCGATAAATAATGGAAGTTCAATACATAATTTACCGAGCAATATAGATTCATTACTTTCTAACAATTTATAATATAAGCCCAATACGAAGAGAAAGTAAACGGTTTTAGTCGACAGAAACATATGAACTACACGAAAACCCGAGCATTCCAATGTTGTAGTAACCTCGCACTTTTTACGGACAACCGATCGTAACGGAGTTACACAACACACCCACAAGCAGTAATATCAAATTATCAATAACAAGGATTAATTTTAATTAATTAAATAAATAAATAAAGTGTTAGTACCAAAAGGGTAAGAATTAAAATAGAGAATTTAGTGACGTCTCACGTGTATCAAGATCGTTGAATTTCCAATTCTTGTCACCAAGAGACTGCACGACAACCTTAAAACCAAACTTGCTGCTCGGGGGAGAATCCGAGGAAGAAGAAGAATTTGGAGAATCCGAGGAAGGAAGATTCTTTTCGCAGCAAACAACCTTAAAAAAGAGCTGCTTCTGCTGAAAACGGTGTCGTACTGCAGAAAATCTAGGCGGCGGCGGCGGCTTTATTTGGGGCATTCTAACTGGAAACTTCGACAGCATCTTTACAAGAAATAAATCCTCACTTTTTCAAGATTCCTTCTTCATAACAAGATCAAGATTACAGAGGAGGAGAGGAAGAGTATATAACAGTACCCAAGAAAATCAAGGATCAAGTTTCTTGATTGAGGAATTCAATTCAACAACCGCATGGGTTCGAGTTGGGAAAGGAGACAAACGGCATTTCTAGAAAGTGGCCGGTGGCCGGGGCTTGGATTAGTACAATTAGGCCAACAAACACGCCTCCATTTTTTCTGCGGCTCATATTTTTTCTAAGGTTAAAAAATATATATATATATTTAAGGAATTGTTTCTTCCTTTAGATTTTTGCTGCAATAATAGTGTTTTAGGAATTATTTGTGTGGGATTTTTATAAGTTATAAATGGATTTTTCGTGTTTTAGTCAACCGTTTGATCTCTTACATTAACCGTCTTAAATGTGTTTACCACAAGTGATTTAGGGATTAAAAGTCGGGGTTTTAGCTCCTAAATTCATTTATGCCTAGTTTTATATACTAGTCGGTCCTTAGTATGCACTCTCCTTCTCAAGTTTGTTCTTTATTGGTTTTTCGGTCTTTTTTCGTCGTCGGTTTCTCTTGCGGGAATTTAAAACTTTGTGACTTATAGTGGTTTTGAATATAAAGTTGTTGCTTAACACGTTTTTGGGGCCAAAACACGTCTTTATGAGCAGTAGCAATCTTTTTAAGTGGAAGAGATGTGTAGCTATAATAATCGCATGGATAATGGAGCTAACTGTACCCGAGATTTAAAGAAGAAAGTGCAGTGACCAAAGTATAATACTGGAGACTGTTTAGTATATGAAACTAGCTAAAAGAAATTTACGAGCTAAAACTCCTTAATAGTGAGGATTTTTACCCAATAAATATGCAGACAGAGCAAAAGAACTTTAATATTTTAATTCGGGTAAATAACACTTACCCTCCCTGTGGTTTGAACTTTGTGCACATGATTTTCTTGTACTTTTAATGTAATACACGACCTCCTTGTATTTTAACATAAGCACATAATCTTCCTGTACTTTGAAAATTTTCATTTTCGCCTAATAAGCATGGTGATTTACCAAGTCGAATACCATAAGGAGATTATGCCCTTAGATTAAAAGTACAAGGGGATCACGTGCACAAAGTTCAAACTACGTGGAGTTCATGTGCTTATATTGAAAGTACGAGTTCATGTGCACAAACCTCAAACCACATGGGGATTAAGTGTAATTTACCCTTTTAATTCAATCAGTAAATACTCCGATTAATTTCACCTTACTCCCCTGAAAAATGGTGTTTTTGTCTTGACACCCAAAAATATTTTAAAAGCATTCTACACCCGTAAAATATAATAAATTATTCAGAGGGCACCCCTATATGTCTAAATTTACGCGGCACTCGATGAACTTCACTAGCACTGGGTTCTTTTATATCTTCAATTTAGATTTAGACACAATCATATCTTATAGAGCAACACTGCTGTGACACCCCTCTCTCGATTACCCTTATTATATGTAATCTCAGCGGAAGACTTTTGAAAACATGATTTTTGTGGATATAAAATTTACGTAAAAATTTTTCTTTTTAAATCAGAGGGAGAGAGGGCACAGCTTGCTAAACCCTAATAAACTATATAACACAAAAGCATACTACATGCAAGACTAGAAACTAACTAGACATAATGAACTTAATGCAAATGCGGACAGATTCAATGCAGAAGCTTTAAAAATTAATTCCTCTTAAACTACTCATGAAAATAATCCCAAAATTTCACCATAACACCTAACACGGGTCTAGATCACTCAGTTAAAACAGTTTTGACATATGCATGGCCATTTGGGAGAAATAAATAAAATGGCACAGTCACTCAGTTTAAAAATCCAGAACAGGGGAGGGAGATTTGAAAATTCATAATAAATTCCTCACTGACCCAAAAACTACCAAATTTTACCCCAAGGCAGAAAGGTAAGTTTAAAACATTTGCCAATTGGAAACAAAGCATTTGAGTGAGTAAAACTCCAGTTATACCAGAAAACACCCGAATGACCCTGTTTCGATGCAGCAATGAGAAACAAATCATAACTAAATAAATACTTACCCAAAACATGCAAAAGACCTATCAATATGATGAGAACAGAGAGATGCAGAGACTCCTAAAATCTCATAATTTTCTAAGCAGAACACCTATATGAAAACGATTTTGGAACATGGAGGTAAAATACGAAGAAACTAATAGCCGAAAGCATGCATACATATAAATAGTGAAAATTTGCTTTCGCTTACAAAAGGCTACGGATTACCGATTAATTATCCAAAATAGGGTAACCCTAATTACTATTACACATATCGTCTTTTAATAATTTCCACCGATCGGAGGATATAAAAGAAAGAAGCGTTGGGCAACCCTAAAAAACCCTAATGGTACTTCTGTAATTAAATATTTTTAATATTTTTTTATCTACTAATTTCTAACTATAATTTTTAACAATTATCAAAATTGAAACTGAATCCCGAAAAATCCTATCTAATGGTACTTTTGTAACTATTTACTTTTAATATTTTTTGTCATTTAATTTTTTAACTATAATTTTCAACAATTATCAATCTCCTATTTTTCATCAATATATCTCAAATCTTAAGAGATAAAGACAGAAT